TTTGACACCTCTATACGTTGTTCCCCTCCTGTTCCTTGGTATTTTTACAACACAGGCAGCTCCTGTTACCTTTTTTAAAAAAGATTTAAGATTTTAAACTGTGCTGTTACTAATCTCACAACTTTCATGTAAAATTGCTTTGATGCACATATTCCTACTTAGCTAGTTAACGGTATTCACTGGTTTGTAGAGAAAGAATTCAAGGACGTAACATCAAGACACATGGCTGTTTGTGGTCATGTTTTAGTGATAGCAAAGCAGGCAAGATTCAGGGGGGCCTTGAGTGGGACATGTTATAAATTGATCATCAAGAAGAAAGCAATTAATCTCTTTCACCGGCAACTCTATTTTTTTTTTATGAAAGGAATCCATGCTTTTCCTTGGACATGTGTTAACTTTTAACTAAAGCAGTGGCAAATGGATCATCCAAAGTTAAAAATCTAAATATATCCTACTGAAGGTCGACCTTACTAATTGAGATTGTGTGATCATTTGGATCAGAAAGTTTTGCTTTGTGCCACCAGTTCAAAGTGTTTGCTAAGCTGTTAATATAAAACAGGCTAAGCCTTTTTTTTTAAGTTTTTAGATGTTCACCTTTAGCTATTTTTAGAGAAAAAGAGTAACCCTTTTGTCAAAGAGTAATTTTCAAGAAGTTAAATACACGACTCTCATCCAGATATAGAATGAGCGTGTACCAAAGATTAATTCAGCTTACTGAGGAGTGAACCAGGAGGATCTAAAGCTAGTTCAAAGGAGAACCAAGGGAATGGGTTCAAAGGCACCTAAGAAAGAATGAGGGGGTAAGATGGCAGGCTTACATATGAAACTGATCAGCAGTCAAGCAGGACGACAAACCTAGACAGAAATCATCTGCATATCTCCTGGATAAGAATCTACAAGTTACAGTGAACTTTCAAAGTCTAGGCTTCAATCAGTAGTTCAGAGCTTGTCAAACACAGATCCAGTGCCCTGGGTCACAAAATAATTCTGTGTCAGCTGTTAATACTCCAGCACGACACTAATAGAACCATCTTCTTTCCCTTACCTTGTTTACAAGTTTCAGATAATTTTCTTTGACATCTTATTATGAAAGTGAACTTCTGCTTATATGGACACCAAGAATAGTCAAGTTCATAGAGACAGAGTTGCCAGGGGCTAGGGGCAAGTGGGGAGAATGGGGAGTTATTCAGTTTTACAAGATGAAAAATGTTCTGTGGATGCGTGGTGGTGATGGTTGCACAACTATGGGAATGTACTTAAAGTCACTGAACTGTACACAAAAGTGGTTAAGATGGGCAATTTTATGTTATGTGTGTTTGAAAAAAATTAATTTTTAAAAGTGAGCTGACACATAGGTATGTAAAGAAAAAGTTAATAATTCTTCATCCTGCTGAAGTAACCCATTTAATAACCCTCTGTGTTAACTCATTTTTCCTTGTTTGTAAAAACATAGACTCTTTTTCACTTTTTTAAAAATTTTATTGATAAAATATATATAACATAGAATTTATCATTTTAACTATTTTATTACCCTAAAGTTCTTGGAAGAGAAAGTTTATTTTTAAACTTTATTTAAAGTTTATTCTAGGAAGAGCAACTCATGGAGAGATAAAACTGTTTTAAAATATACATATATGTACTCTTCATTGTTTCTAAGAATAGTTTAGAGCTTTAGCTTTTTAAACTTACAAAGTTATCAAAGGAATAAAGCCAACCACAAAATAAGAATCAACAGAATGCAGCAATCCATTTATAAAGGACAGTCAAATGTGCTTACACATATTAAAAAATCAATCATCTAAGTTGTAAATAATAAAAAAATAGGATTATTAACATTCTTTGTGACCTTTGCCCTTTTCACAGGCCTCTGGGTTGTAAATATGTTGATCTTATCCATTCTTTTCAATACCAGCTCCACAGACTGGACACACAGCAATTTATTCAACTTTTGCTCTACTGATCCAAATTTCATTTGTTTCTGTGTTGTTTTTTTGCCAGTACAAACACTGTTATAATAAATCTGTTTTAACATAGAAGAGTGATGCTGAAGGCCAGCACCTTGACAGCAAGAAGGCAGAAGAGGGAGTGGATCAAGGAAATGGTTTTGGGGGGGAAATGGATTGGATTTAGGGACCAGTTGAAAATTTTGGTGTGAGAGTGGGAAGATGCATAGTTGATGCCATTTTATTGAAAGAGGGACTAGAAGCTGAATAACAGAAGGCTTTAGAAGAGATGATAGGAGCTGAGAGGGTAGGGTTTGTTTCGAAAATGCTGTGTTGGAGACAGGCATGCTGTCTGTGCCCAGCCTAGGGAAGACGTCACAGATAAAGGCATTGATTTGAGAATCCTTTGCACAAAAGTCAAAGTTGAAGCTATAAGAGTGAATGAGATCTGATCCCAGGGAGGCCTTATATTCTAGAGGAAGGAGGTGACATCCGGGGGAGTTACCTGCATTCAAGGGTCTGGCCGAGGAGACTGAGAAGGTGTGGAGGAGGAAGGAATAGGTGAGTAAAGCCTGGAGAGGCAAAAGAGGGAAGAGTCTGAAATGATGTCCCAACTTGCCCTTCCTTAGGAAATGTAGTAGTGTTAAGTACTTTCAGGCCCGAGCAGTAGACTTTCCCTCTCACTGCTTGCTGTGTGTGCCCTTTTCTCTGTCAATCTTTTCTTCAAAGGCTGGTTTCCTGTGTGTAAACCACCGGTAACAATGGTATGGTTTGGTAAGCCAATTTGGGCCACTGCTTTGAATTTAAGGACTAAGCCAAATCAAATTGCAAAGGGGCACAGTTTGATTGCAGTTCAGCATCTCTCAACAGGTAGTTACGAAGTCATTTTTTAAAGCTGTACCAGGTTCAAACAAACTAAGACTTTATTATTAAAGGAGAGCACATGTTAGTTTCACAAAACCATGTGAACTAGAGACACCCTAAGGAAGCAGTAAACACAGGATTTCTAAAACACTTAGAATTAGATCTGAAACTGTCTCAGCAACCTCTATTAGCATTAAGATTACCCTATTGCCACGAGATCTTTTTGTAAAGGACCTGTGAATTTTTAAGCCTACCCTCGGTGATTGGAGGAGAGACTAAAGGGATACTAGCAGTCCAAACGCATGGTTTTGTCATCTCTCGTGGTTTTGAGAAATACAGTTTCGGAAGAGCAGTTGGATTGCTGGAACCACGTGATGCCCCCGAGGAGTGAAATCGGTGGGCATCTTGCCACGTTTGAGGCTGGATTTGGCTTAATTCAAAACTTGGTTCCAGTATTACTTTTGATACCATGGTTGGAGTTCCCTAACGAGAAATCAAAAGAAGTTCATGATAAGGAGGATTCTTACCCATTAAGTGCTTTGTCATCTTGTGGGAAAATCAAAAATACTTAGAAAAATATGGAAGAAAAATCTCTGAGGTGTTCTGTGACCCTCAGAATTGTGTTTGTTGATGTGGAAGGAATTTACTGTTAGAGTGAGGTCAATCCATACTGGAGTTCCCTCGACCCACAGGACCCACTTGGTAAGGAAGAAGCAGGGGTGAGAACAGTGGGCGCCCTGGCAGGTTAGGGAGGCAGCAGGTGGTGAATGAGCTCTTTTCCAGGTAATGTGGTCACGGTTGTATTCATAAGGTGGTGATTTTGAGGCATGATGGACTCAGGCCATCATCTTGGGTTACTTGATTGCAGATTGCAGAGAAGGAGGTCACAGCTGTGGAGTGTTGATCTCAACAAAGACAGATGAAGCTTTCCACAGTGGAAAGCTTCTTGTGGATCCAATGTCACCTTGAATATCTTTAATAGTTTGCAGTTAGTCGAGACTACCACCTGAGGGTAGGGGAGTAAGATTCCAGCAGAATCTTATTGTGCTTAACACTAGTTCATCTAGCTGCGTTCATGAGTCATGGAAGCTTAGAGGAGCCCTGGAAGTGTCCTAGTAGGTCTGTGTGAAAACAACTTCGTGACTGAACTCACCTCGTCCCTAAGTGCTAAGTGCCTATTCCATCTGCTTTCGAGAATAATCCAGAAGAATCCCAGATTCTTTGCCTCAGGCCCTTAATTGTATAGGAGTCATCCAGCCTTGGGAATAGAGAGGTTAAGATTGGAGATTTCCAGCTTCAGTGTTGTTTCCCAGTCATTTGGCAGTGGAAAAGCCTTCCTCTCAGGGGCTGCCTTTGGTTTTATTTTTGGATGAGTTGCTGTGTTCTGCTCTGGTCTTGTCTGAACACGTAGACCCAGCCCAAGCTGCTGGCACCCCAGGACGTGTTATTTTCACACCATCTCCATAATTCACAGCTGCACAATTTTGAAAGAGACGCCAAAATCCAGACACAGCAAAGCAGGCTCTTTTGCACGTCCTGAGGTCCTGAACGACGGTTTTATCTTAAACATATTCCCTTTTCTTTCCTCTTTTGCCTGTTCATTTCTCTCTCTCTCTCTCTGTAGCATATAAATAATGGGCTTATCCTATTTACCGCACAAAGAGAAAATTAAACGTCTGACTTTTTTAGAACTGTGGCGAATTATTTCCAGAGTGTGAAAAAATAGACACTGGACATTTCTGCTCCTGCTTTTGGTACAGTGGGAATTTATTACTCAGCTCAGTACTGGTTTTGGCCTGAACCAAGCAGTTGAGTAGGCCAGCAGTGGTTACCTTTCCCAAATAGCACTGCCAGGGACCGTCTTGTTCTTATTTGAGACAGCATGAACCAAAGGTATCTTTCCATCAAAGACTGGTCATCTCTGAATCTTAGACATATCACAAAAGCTTTTGAGACCTAGCCAGTGGATTTTACTTGCATGAGATATTGCATAGCTCCCAAAGGGAAGGAAAACAAAATGGGAGGGAGGCAAGGGAGAACTCAGAGCCCAACAATAAATAGCTCTTTGTCCTAGTCCCCTCCCCGAACCCCAGACCGCTGAGATCATAGAGTAAGTTAGCAGCACGCAGTAGAAGGCACCGCTGCCCAGCAGCTTGGCGGATGGTGACCAGATGTGAACTTGTCTGTCCACAGTGTGCGGCTGTGACCTGGCCCAGGGGGGCTTCTTCATCAAGAACGGGGAGTATCTCTGCACCCTGGACTACCAGAGGATGTACGGGACACGGTGCCACGGCTGCGGGGAGTTCGTGGAAGGAGAGGTGGTGACCGCCCTGGGCAAGACCTACCACCCCAACTGCTTCGCTTGTACGATCTGCAAGTAAGTGTGGCTCCTCCCAGCGCAGAAGCACCGGGCTCTGCTGTCAAAGCTCGGGATGTGCGCATTTGTCTTGAGTTGTATGTACTTAGTCTTCAAATACTCTCTGATGCATCTTTAGATGTTTTTATTTTCCTCACAGGCTTAGTCAAAAAGTAATTGCATTGGGAACCTGTATGTGATGTGCTCTAACTAAATAATGTGACTGATTTTAAGGGGCTCAAAACCATGTCTGAAAGCAGCTCTAGGTCTGGAAACATTTTGAGCAGTGGAAGCATTGGAGGAAATGGCATAAATACTTGGAAAGACGAAGCTTATTCGAAAAGTTTCGGGTGTGGGTGTGTAACGTAGCCTTTGTTTGCTCTATAGACAGAGTGAGCAAACTGCCTGAGGGGCCAAGTCAGACCCAGTACCTATTTCATAAATAAAGTTTTATTGGAACACAGCCATGCCCGTTTGTTTACATAGTGTCTGTGGCTGCTTGCAAGTGACGGTGGCTAGGTCAAGTGGTTGTGACAGAAACCTTGTGATCCACAAAGTCTAAAAAAAATATTTACAATCCGATCTTTCAAGGGGAAAGTCTGCCCACCCCTCCTTTCTAGGCATCTCTCAGCCACCAAGGTTACATCTTTACCGCACAAAGCAGCGTGGTTAAAATGATCGGTCAGAGAGAAGAAGGTAAGTGTGTGAAGGGCGAGCAGAGGGGTGTGGTGGCTTTGTTGTTGTGTTTTGAGAGCTACACATGATAGCATTTACGACGGTTTGATTCCTGGAATGAGGAGGCTCATCAGTGAAGGATCAGCTCCTTAACTGACCCGAACCCACTGGGCAGTCCCATGCCTTTGGAGTGGTATTGATCGTGTGCGCGCCATTTCTGCCTTTGTAAAAACTGCCCGTTCAGAGGAGGTGTTTTGTTTTGTTTTTCAGCACGTCATATTTCTAGGCCAGAGAAATGTAAACTCTAGAAGGGTACATTTCATTTCATGTGATAAATTTACAAGATGATACTCATGGATAAATCATAATAAAATTTAGGTGAAATATTCATAATAAAATTATGTTAGCAACTTGTTTATAGCTATTAACTCATCTCTCAATTATATATTAACTCATCTCTCAATGATTTATTAAAAATTCTGGGGTAATGAGCTGAATTTTTTTTTGTATTTAATCAGAAGCAAAGTTTCCTCTTGAAATCTCCCTTTTCAGGCTGCAGTCCACAGCCTGGTTAAGACCCTGGGATGACATTCAGGAGACCCGAGTTCTAGTCTTGCTTCCTGGGCTGATTTGAGACCAAAGAACTAACTTTTTCATGGCAATTGCTGAGTCTGTAAGATGCGAGGTTGTAAACTGGATGTAAGTGACTCCCCATACCTGGGTGGTCACTGGAATCCCCCAGGGAGGGCCTTTTTAAAAATACCCACTTTTGCCCTTTCTTCCCCCAAACTTTCATGATGATTTAGTAGTTTCTAGAGGGTTACCAAGGATAATATGACTCAGCCCAGCTGGAAGGGCCTAGCCCAGGTAAACTCTGAGTCCTCCTGATCCTGGGCCTGAGAGATCATTGTCTAAAGTTGGAAACGACAGACAGACAGTTATTAGCTCTAGCCATGTCCCCAGACGTTTGAGCCAGCAGAGAGGTGCTGACTACTGCTCTAATGCTGATGCTAATTCTCCCTGAATTGGAGGCCTCCTCTACAGTTTACAGATTGCATTCATACAGAACTTAATTTAATTTAAATTAACCCTCTGAGCAATTCTGTGAAATCCATCAGGAGTTAGTAGCCCTGCTCATGAGTGACTCTGAGATTCAGAGTTTAAGGCATTTCCCCGCCCAGTTCTCTTTCTATTATGACATTAATGCAAATAACAGAAGGACATGGACCCATGTGGGCAGAGGATGTAGGGAAGGGGGAAATGCTGAAGAGGGCGGTTTTTGTAATAAAACTCGAAATTCGGAAGAACTGGCCCCATGCTGAGAGCCGGACTCTGGCTTGTCCCATGGTAGATCCGGGTGGAATTTAAGTCTAAAAATACAAGTTTGATCAGAGGCAGGGCCCGGACGAGGGTGCGGCACTCGTAGGGTGCACAGTCTGAAGGGATGCTCAGTCCTGTGTCGTGCAGCGCTCCTGACAGCGAGGGCCTCCTCAAATGCTGCGCCCCAAGTGCCCAGCTGGCCTCACCTTAGTCCTCGCTCTGATCAGAGACAAAGAACCTGTGCTCATTGTGTTTATGAATCCTTCACTCCCTGATGGCCTCCTTACAGAGCAGATTGGAGGCTGGTTCAGTTTTACTTGATGAGTGTGAGGCAATAAGCCCACTGACATCCACCAGAGTGACTTTGATTATTAAGACAGCAAGTTCTGAGATGGTGGACACCACCTGTAACTGCCTGTGGCTCCGTCTCCCTAGCTGGTCAATCCAGGCAACTCACTTAACCTCTCTGGGCCTTATCTGAGGAATGGAAAGGAACACAGCACCACGAGAGGAGAGATGACCACCTCAACTCAGCACTTCTAAAATTTGGCGGCATGAGAGTTTGAAACTTTCCTTGATGACTGGCACCAAGCACATTTTTGCAGTTGTTTTAAGTCCCAGTTTACTACCTATGCGTGCCTTCCAGTTAATCACCAACTGTTAGGCAGCTGAAAGGCAACTTGAAGGAGAGACAGCAGCTGTGAAAGTAAAACTCACGTCAAGAAGCTTGAATTTGTTCTTAAGTAATTGCTTCTGACTCAGATGTGTGGGGATGTTTTGCTTGCGAGTTTTAAAGTTCCTAATTGAAAAATCACACATTTGAAAACTCAAGTTGATGATTATTGGCAGATTGACCAATTGCGAGTAAGCAGTCATGGAAACTGTCATATAGCTATTAATTAATGACTTTTTAAAAAAGCTTTCTGCCCGCTGAACTGGGAAGAGAAGAAACATAACATACCTGCAAAAGGCAATTTTTTTTTTGCATAGTGGACTGTCCTTGATGAATGTCTAGTGTGAAAGGAAATTGTCATCCTGAAAAAGAGCTAATATGAATTTTTAAACAGGTATTTGTAGCATTTTCGTATTTCTCTAAGTTGACGAGGGACTGGGTCCCTAGCACTGTGAGATATTCACTTCGTCCATTCAGATGTCCAGGACAAAGTCTAATTCAGCATAATTATCACATTAGGTCTAGGGAACTTAAAGAGTTAATGCTTGACCTTAACCAGTTCTCTTGGGAAGGGGCCTTACGCTTGAATAGGAATTTATGGCATTTAAAATGTTTCTTCATGAAAGCATTTCCATTTGTAAAATGGAAAATTTTACTTTGCACGCCCTGCCAGGTGACTTGTTGGAACATCCCTCCTCTAATGAGTGGAGGTAAATCGTTTCATTTTACTGTCTGGTTGCCCGTAGAAGCAATGAGTTCTCCTTTCTTCTCAAAATGAGGCACATTTATTTGTCTGGACTGGATCCAGCTGGCTGGCTCGGTTAAGACTGCATTTCAGACGTTTTGGCTGGGGCTCCTCCAAGAACCGAATTGGCACCGGAGGGCAGCAATGCAGGAGGAGTGGGGGGAAAAGGAATGAAATTGCTGGAATAACCTTGAGGGCGATGTCGTTCTGTCTCCAGGCGCCCATTTCCACCCGGAGACCGAGTCACATTCAATGGGAGAGACTGCCTCTGCCAACTCTGTGCACAGCCGATGTCTTCCAGCCCTAAAGAAACCTCCTGCTCCAGCAGTAAGTGCCCCAGCCACCTGTCGACATGAATTCCTTCACACCTCAAAGGTAGCTTGGGCAGGTACCCTCCTTTTTGAGAAACTCTGGTAGCAGGAGCCAAGTGTAGTTCTGTCTAAGGCAATTTCAGTTCTAGAACCTGATGTGTGGAGAAGCCTTCACCAAAACCCATGCACTGAGAAGCGTCTCGCTTACTGAGAAAAGGCAAAAATAGAACTGGACCTCAAACTGCATTTTGATGGTAAACGAAGGAAAAAGAATTATTAAATGTTCCATCAGAAATTCCCCTCTCTAATCATGGAGGTTAAGCTGTGAGAGCGTCTGGTGGTGACGTGATTGATATCTCTATGTGTTAAAAAAGCTATCCCCACTGTGCCTTGGACAAACATGGTGGTTTATACTTACCCTTACAGATAATTTTCTGAGCGCATACAACGTGCATTGTTTGTTCACAGTGGAAACAGAGGTGTGAACAGAACATCCTTAGCATGGGATTTGTCATTCTTGATGCCAAGGGCTTGTCTGACCTGTAGGAATCCAAAGGAAACCAACTTTCCTCCAAATAAAAATAGTGACCAATTGCACTATTTCTTCTAGTAACTAACATTTGATAGGTCAGTTAACTCTGAAGTGAGAGGTACCAAGCACCAAGCAAGGAAGCTGTACCCCATCTCTTTCCTGGGGCAGTGGGATGTGGACTAGAGGTTTGCCTCTTCTCCTGTGGATTTTGCTAGTCCTCGGGAGACCGGACACAGACGCCTGTAAGCCCTGCCAGTCTCAGCACATGAGAATGGGATAAGCTACTTCTGTTTTGAAGGAATTTTGTGTAATTTATAATGGTGATTCCAAATCATCCTGTTAAAGTAGAATATTTATACCTGTTAAAAATAAGAATGTTATGACCAAAAACATTTCCATAGAAATTGGATTTTGACCATTGGGAGGAAAGAAGAAAATAAATGTATTAGTGCATCTTATTCAACATGCATGACCGGATCCTCAGCATGCGGATTTATATGCCCTCCTGGTAAATAAGAGCAACCTGGTAGGACAAAGGCTGCGAAACAGGGCACAATCCTAGACCCCAGCAGAGTTTCAAGTTCTTCACTGTTCTTACCGACTCTGCTCCATGCAGGTCATTGGGAAGGTGGCCTGGGGTGTGAACAGGCACCCCATCATTTACAAGGGCTTGCTCTGAAAGTACATCACCAAAAACTTTGAAGGAATTCTTCAGTCTAGTTAAGAAAGGATTTTATGAGTTCCCAGGATAGGATGGCAGCTGTAACAGAGGGTCCCATCCACAGGGCTATAAGAGGAATGGCTGTGTCCTCAAATTCTATGGAGTCCTTTCATCCAACTGTCTTTCCTGGTAGGGAAATTGAGGTGCAGGAGTATACTCAAGGTCACACAAGTGACCCCGAAAATAAGGTAGGGATAGAGGCAGATCTTCGACTCCTGGTTTGGGGCTGTCTTTTTGTTTCCTCTAATACTCCCATTGTTTGGTTTAAGAAAGAGAAGCTGGATATTTTTAAAGGCTTCCTGTCCATCTTGTGCATGCAGTTTGGGAAACTGTTTCCTAGCCACAGCTCCACCAAAGTGGTTATTCCAATTTTTATTTAACATTTTTTTGCTTTATCTATATTTTCTATTTTATGTGACATTTATATGCACATAAAACAAATAAAAATTTTAAATGTAAAAATGTATCATACTCAAATTCATTACATTTCTAATATTCAATTTAACCATTACTGTTTGTGTGCAAATTGTCAGACCAAATCAGATTTTCTCCCTGTTCCCAATGGATGAAGTCCCTTTCCTCTGTGCAACTGCTTTGGTCAGAATATTTTTATTTTCAACAAGTACTTGTCTATTTGGATAAGTACTCAAATAGCATTTCTGGGGCATGTGGGTGTAGGTGTCTGTCAAAAAGAGAGCTCTTATATATGGATACATACATACATACAAAATATCCAAATGAGGCAGGCACACGAATACAAAAGCAAAAGAATTTTCAACAAGTTTCTGAAATTCATTGCAACATAATTAGAAAACACTTGGTTGTTCTTTGTAATTCTTTAAGAATTTCCCTACGCTTTTAAACTATCCTGATTTTGATTCTTATTTAAAAATTTTTTAACATGGCAAAGCCTCCAAATAAAAGGAAAAAAAAACTCTTCTTTGATAATGTTCACAAAATCGATGAAATATATCAGAGACCCAAGGTCCTCTTTTTCCTTTGAAATGTTCTTTCAAAAACAAGTTTGCTGTTCTGTGGACTGGAATTTTATTTACGTTCTGTGGCCGGTGTCCCATAATCACAGAATAGCAGGGGGAGACAGTGTGAGAGGGAGAGAGGTGAAGCGTGGCCAGCAGAACCAAGTCAGTGATGTGCTGAGAACTGACACAAGATAGTCTCCTGTTTGAGTTTCGACAGAGATGCAGTTCCTATTTCAGCCGCTCAGGGGCGCCACGTCCGTCTTGCTCTGATTTAGGAAGAGCTCACAGTGAGGTGCCTGTGATGTCTTGGGCTCTCTGCTTGGTGGTTCCTTCCACATTACAGTGATTCTTCCAACTTTTGTATCTGTTCTATTTTCTTTTTCAGACATTCACATAGTACTCACCATAATCAGGAGCTGGTCTACAAATTTTAACTCATTTAATCCTCATAACCACCCTATAGGTTGGTACTAAAACTACCACTTTCTCACAGATAAAGAAACAAAGGCCCATAGAGGTTAGATAATTTGCCCAGGGTTACACAGTGACGGAGCTGGGATACAAACCCAGGCTGTCTGGCTCCAGATGCCATGTTACTGTCCCTGATAGTTCTTTTACAGTGTGACATCACTCTCTGATTTCCAAAGAAGGGGTGCTGAGCCGTGGAGCTGTGACCTGACCTGTCTGTGGATTTACCTGAGGGTCTGCCTCCAACGGCTGTGCGCTTTCTATGTGCTACAGTTGCCTCCCTGGTGTAGCAAGATTTGGTGAACAGAAACCATCAGGGAGTTTATTCATAGAAACAAACTACTTCAGTTAAGTACTGTTGCCCCTGAATTAGTTAAAACTGTTGCTGCAACCAGTCTAATACAATTTGAATTCAATAAGCAACAAACATTATCTAACATGAAGATAATAGTAAATGTTACTCCACAGGGTTGGGATGAACATTAATTACATTTGGATTGTCCTTTCTTGCACAGCTTCTGTCTATTTCAGGCATCTGAGCAGAAGTGGGCTGCTGTCTATTCCATTTCAAAGGGTGTCTGACTAGTGTCTGATTGCGTGTGGGTTTGGCAGATGGATGCGATGAACACCCACACACGTATATGTCCAAACCCGTCTTCCTCTCTTTTCCCTGCTCTGTACAGCTTTGTCATTGTTCCCACTGCAATTGGAACTCCTACAGGTATCAGGGCAAATGCACTAGTTGGACTGAATTTAATCTCAGATAAATGCACACGTTTTCAAGGGAAAGGAAGAATTTTTCAATTATTTTACTTTTCTATTTGGTGCAATAGCTTTTCATAGTTGCAGGATAATTTTTCTTTTATCTTTGTGTTCTCTCTCAAAAAAATCATTTGCACGTGAGTAGGACTTGTCTGCAGAGACACCTACAATAGGCAGAGTGGTGATGCTCTGACGCTGGCATCTGAATGCCTGGGTCAGGCTCTGGCTCAAGCCAGTCTCTTCTACCTCTCCAGCCTCCATTTCCCCTTCTGTAAAATGGGATGGCACTGGGTACTACCTTGTGGGATTAAATGAGTAACTAGATAAAAGTGCTAAATCCTAATAAAACAAAAACCTAGTGTTCAGGCATTGACTTCTAAATTTTCATGCAGGACAGTCTCTACTTTTTGTGACTCTGCTTTTTTCAATCTGCTGTTCCTGGTGGCTGTCTTCATCTACTCACTTGATGTTTTCCACCAATTTCTGAAACCAACGAAGGCAGGAACACCTGCAAGCATACAGCCTATACATGGATTATTGGAGTTTGACTCCTGGTGATGTGTTTTATGGCAGGGTCTCCGAAACAGATCAGCCCCACTTTCCTGGGACACTTCCTTCCTGTAGGATAGGATGGCAGAGGGGGCTTGGAGGGCACAGCTGAAGAGTGTGGGTTTTGGACAGGCTGGTTTTTACCCCAGTTCTACCATGTACAGGCTGGGTAGACTTGAGAACTCAATCTCTGCCTGCATTCCTTTGCCTATAAGATGGGAGAGAATAATGGTTCCTTTCTCATTGGGTGGTCGTGAGGATTCATAAAAGTAAAGTGCGTAAGAGATTCAACGCCTAACGAACTTGTCTGTATGTTAACCATTAGTCTTTAAGGAAGTTATGAGCCTGGAACTTGAGTTCAGAGATATTTAGAATCAGAAAGGAACAAAAGAGGGCATCACATAGTGGTTTAGAATGTGGGCTCTGCATTTCATAATGCGTGGGTTTGACTCCGAGTCCTACCTCTTTCTAGCCGTGGACCTTGGGCAAGCTATTGGATATTTCAGAACCTGACTGCCCTCAAGTGAAAATTGGAAAATAGCTACTTCTCAGGGTTGTTAGGAGAATTCAATAAGATACTACTCACATGGCAGGACAGTCTAAATGTGGGGAGGGTCCTTGTAAAAACAGCACAGGGGGACCCCAAATTGAACAAAGGCTTGTTCTTCCACATCCTGAGAAGAGAAGCTGGAACAATTGTTGGGGGGCAGGTCTCGGGACCTGCCTCAAGGAATTTGACAACGTGGAGTTCAGTTGAAGCCAGAGGACGACCAGAGGAAAACAGTGTTCCAGCAAGACTCGTGTGGAAATGGCAATTGTGGTGTGCAAAATCAGGGATTCGGCATCAGCGACCAGGGCCGGGAGACCGTTGATTGTGTGGGTACAAGTAATGGCTGTGAGAAAAGATGAAAAAGATGGAAGAAAAGATCATATTAGAGAGAGATGGGTGTCATTCATTCATTCAATGAGCATTACTTTGAGCACCTACTGCCTTCCAGGCACCA